GGTTGTCCACACACTTGACAAGGTTCACGATACCATGATTCATTTGTGATATCATATTTTTCTATTCTGTCGCAAGACCGACAGAGTTGATGGTAAAGATTTGTTCCTTCGTAAACTTCATCTTTTGCTAATGGTCTACTGCATTTGCAGCAATGAAAATTTTTCCTTCGAGTACAGAAGTTTCTTGCCATATGATCAGTGGCTGCTTCTTGAAGTTTTCTTTTGTCACAACCACAAGGTAATGGTTGTCTTTTATATTTTAAAAATGTGACAGGTACGAAGGTTGTGGTTGGTTGTTGAATTTCATTGTTTGTTTCTATGCAAGTTGCATTTTGAGGGATAAAATCCCTGCTCCATGGGTACCAGTTATCTGGTCCCGGGGTGTTTCCCTCTACCCATGGGTTCCCACTATTTGTCTCTCCCGGGGTGGAGCCCCAGTTATCATTTTCTAATTCTTTAGGGATTTCTTCCCATCCGTCGAGATTATTATTTTGTTCTGTTATTTCAATTATTTCATCAGACTCTTTATCCGAGTCTTCTGAAACTAATTCTGGAGTGGTTGCTTCATATTCAAAATATTCATATGGTTCTTCATCTTGGATTTGATCTAATCCATAATATAATTCAGGTCCCTCTTCGAAGTCAAACCCGTTAATATGAATTTGTATTGCCTGTCAAACATACAAAGTTAATTGGCTATAAAAACTAGTTTCAATTCTAGATAATTTTATAACAAGTTAATAATTTTTGTCTATTAGGTTCTCGCCAAAGTGGCGTTATAGTTTTGATTGGAATTATCCCTTTGACTTTACATTTTACACATCATTCAAAGCATATTTATCGAGCTTCTAGAATTCTTTTGATGATCGGAATATCATTGATCTACTATTGTATTGTTGGTATACTGTTTGTGATTTTGACTAACTCTGTGTGCCTTTTTTTCCATGTATACAAGAAAATTCGTAATATTGTGGATGAATGTAATCAAAAATTGGCAAAATGAATGTTTAAGTCATGTTGTTTTAGAAAAATCAGTTCTAAAACCGCAAGACAAACGTTGGATTGATCACATTTCCTTTTTTTTTTTCGCCAACGTTAATTCCAGTATCCTTGGTGCAAGATTGTCATTTGCGCTGAGGAATACAACAATACGTGTGGTTTTTGTAGAGTTATCAAATGATGTTAGGAAGACATCTTTGTTGGAGATGAAATTGGAGTTTCCTAATAACGTTCAATAAAATTTGGCTTGGGTTAAACATGCGGTAAATATTTGTAAAATACACCATTCTAGTTAAATAAAAGTCAAACTTTTTGATAAAATGGTATATTCTACAAAACATTTGACCATCGTTAAAAAAAGTTTTTTTTTACCAATGGTTGGGTTTACACTCAAGGAGATCTCCCGTCATAGGACGTGAACTTTGTTTGCAAGTGATAGATTCGATGTAAGAGGTTAGCAGTAATTTATTTCTTAATTTAAAGGAATCAATCATTTTCATATTTGACTGTAACATAACGCAACACTACCAACTCAAATTTCATAGATTAATATTAAGGGTTAATACTAGATGTTGGACCCGTCTAAAAAAACCCTACCAGGTTACCCGTCAAATAACTTACGAGTCACCCGGGTGTTAAACAAGTCTGTCTATATATATGCATTTAAAGTTAACGAATGATTATATTATATTACTATATTTTACAATTTATTCCTAAACTTACAATATAAACCATTTCTTTTTACAAACAAAATCTGACTCACTACTTCATGTCCATTCAAAAGGTTTAATTATCCCACCCACCCTGGAAGAGAGCGATTTGATTTTATAAATTAGTACAACTTTGTGCCTGCTATTACTTTTAGATAATTAGACCAGAAGATAGGTCATATATACATAGCAGACTTGTTTTTACTGCTGGTAGGCTCCCTTTGGGGTGATTAGATTGTATATTTTATATATTTGGAATATACAGTATATACTTGACTAATCATCTTGATTGATAAAATTACTTCATTTAACTCAACATCCAACTGCGGTGGACGTTGGATATTGGACATTCTAAACTGTTAAGCGACCCGTTGATGAATGAAAGTGGGATTCGACTAATTAAAAATTATTTCTTCCAAAACATATTTTTTTTACAAATTAAAACTATTATTAATATTTCTTCTTTTATTATTACAATAAAATAAAAAAATTTTAAAAACGCATTTGAATTATCTTTAGTACCCGAGTTTATATAACACACATATGCAGGTCGATATTGGCCTTTTACATACATACGAATTGTGTTAACTTGATGTTTTTTCGAATTTTGTCTTTGGATTAACAGTAATATACAATAATATTAATAATAAAATAAAAACACGCTTAAATTGTCTTTAATGCTTGAGTTTGAAGGTACTTGATAAGTTTTGTAAAGTTTTAATTTTGTTTTCTATTTTTAAATCTTCAAAGAATGCTGAAATTCTTTTATTGTTGAATCACGATAAATCGATCACTAGAGTTTGGTGATGAAGAACCCGTTTTTTTAAATAATGCAATTTTCACTTTTCAATTTACATCCTTATCAATTAATTAATCATGTTAGAGAAAAAACTTAAAGACTATAAAAAATGTTGTACGAAAAAATTGTTTGTTGCACGTCATTCAGTTCTCTGCAACGAGTTTCGTGAAATATAGATTAGGTGTCATGGCATTATAAAATCACATGGCTCAATCACATACATATATATTCGTTCGGAGCATCAAAATTAGCACTGAATGCGAAGCATCTTAGCGTCATATCATGCATTCATGATCAATGATGCAATCTTAATAAAAATAGACTATTTCATAGCATTGATCGAGAAGTCTAGTAAATTACAACAAAAACATATAAATAGACCCTCTATCCCCACTCGTGAACCAAAAAAACGGTGCGTTGGTTTTGCTTTTTACGTTGCGTTCGAATTCGAGGGTTGAAACACGTAGTGCCGAAATGGCGTTCCATGTATGATTTGGCTTTACATGTTACATTTAAATGCGAGGTATCTATATATTCGTTCGGAGCATCAACATTGGCCAGTCATATTATTATTATATCAATATTTTTATTCTATTCGTTGTGTTGAGCGAAAAATTTAATAAAGATCCTTTGCAAAGAAGAACCTCATGTGATCAAAAGTTATTTACAAATTTTGATTGTTAGAAAAAAATCAACTAGGCTTTTTTTTTTAATTAAAAAAAAAGATCTTTTTGTCCTGATCTTTTCCTCGTGTTTATTTATTATTCATCCCAGATTAAAGGTCGATGGGTCAATTGGATTTTATTTTTTCAAGTCTATCGCATAGAAGAATAAAGCTTCATGCAACATCAAAAGTTGCAAAGATTAATAGTCAACGGATTTTATTTATTTTCTCCGAAAGGAAATTAAAGAATAAAATTTTTCCTATCCAGATTATCCACTATCTCTAATAAATTTTTTTTTAGTTCAACACGAACAATCAAAAACAATTTGTATGTATTGTTTGTTTATCGGTCACTGGTAGTAACAATAACAATAAAATGTTTTTGAATCCCAGTCTCGTGACCCGAAAATATATTAACATTAACACGTTGTGTGACAAGTTTTTGACGATCTGGAATCTGAGGTAAAGGCTCCAGGGCAAGGCCATAAGTTTTTGGTCATTTTGAACGATCCGAAACGTCAGAGAAAGACAAAGAACTAATGATAAACACCATGCAAAAAACTAAAACGAAACATGATTTCCTTTCATCAAGTATCCCTGAAGTTTTGAACAAAATAGATAATTTTTCGGTTGACAAATAGATATAAATGGGAATTCGCATGATGCGACGATGTAAAAATAACCACGATCATTCATCATTTTTGGAAAACGAAAACTTTAACAAATTAATTTCAAATCAATTTGCAAGTCAAGTCAGCGCAGCAAAAAAAAAAAGAAAAACGACACATTACAAAGTTTTACCCTTTGATTTTGATCTCATCCTTCCCCAACAATTCAGTTTACTAAAGTTGAACAACAAGATTTGTGATTCGTTATCATAATTGCACTGAATTTATCGTGCATATATCATTCATTCATTTCATAAACAATTTCACATTATACATACAACACAAGATCGGATGATTTAACATAAAATAAAATAGCAACATCATTGGATAGGGAAAATATTACACAAAATATAAAAATTACGACATTTAGAAAGGAACCGTAACACGGCAACCTTTCAAGTCGAAATTTATATTTTATATTTTTATATAATGTCATATAATAATAAACTGTTATCACCAGAAAGAATGAATTTTGTAATGAAAACTCACAATGAAATGTATAATAATAATGCTCTGGTTAATTCTGATAGAGAAAGTAGAAAAGATTATTTTTTTTCATTAGTTAAAAAAAACAAGGAGCTTTCTGAAAATGAAAAAGAATATTGCAAGGAAAGATTTATTTATAATTTTGAATCAAATAATGCAACGTATAAATTGGGCAAACCAAAAGAATGTAACAAATGTAAATTGACAAGATATTCTGATAGATTCTGTGAGGGTTGTATTAGTTTACAATTACAGAGTCTTTTCACCACTTGGACATCTGGGAATAACATAATTGATGATTTTATTCAACAATGTCAAATGAA